CATATGATTGTCTGATTCAAAATGGCAAAACCAGTCCATTTCAGTTCACTAATGCCTAGGATATCAATCTATGTGTTCCATTTCATTTTTGACAACTTCCAATTTTCCTAGATTCATACTTCATACATTCCATGTGCCGACTATTAATGAATGCTTGCACCTGTTTCTCCTCAATCTGAGTTGTGCCATGTCAGCAAATGGAGGTCTCAAAAGCTTTATACTTTATCCATATCAGTGAGGCTGGTTCCACTCTGATGATGCAGCTCTTTCTGAGCCATACTTTGAGAGAGCCTTCTGACCTAAGGGGCTCGTCTTCCTGCACATGATGCACATGTTTCAGCATGGCATGCAGACTGAGACAGACTAGGAAGAAGGAAGAGGCCCTCCATTTCTCAAAGAATTGGTCAGGGAAAACTTTATGAATAGCAGAGAAACACTGATACATTACTGGGCAACTTTTTGAATAGCCCAGAAACACTTCTGCCTTTTTTAACCTGTAAATATAAAATGTTTTTCATCCCGTCTCCACGTGTCTGAAACACACCAACCTTTGAAGCCTAGTTCACATATCAATTCCTGCACAAAACCTTTCCTAAATATCCCAGATGCTGAGTTGTATCCCTGTGCCATGGTATTGCCAGCATCTATCTACCTAATTGTCTAGAACACCAGAGAAGAAACCTAACCTTACATGGCTCTGCAGTCCCAGGGGACCTACTGGACTGTCTCATATAGGGTAGGTCCTGCAAAAAAAGAATCCACTGAATGAATAAATGAATGAATGGAAAATGACTTGGTCAATATGAAATGAGTGTTTCACCTAAAGAGATGGTACACTTTAAAATTTTAATTAAAGTGTTTAATTTTGTTTTTCAACTTTCCTGGCTTACTTTTTAGTTTAATTCTTTAACTTAATTTAGACCAACTTAAACTCAAATATTTAAATTTTTTATAGTACAAAATCTCAAATATTTACAATAGTTCAGAGAATCATATGATGAGCCTCCATGTGTTCATCAACCCCACTTGAATACATCAACACATGACCAAATGAAGCAGATTTATAAAGCAAGAACAAAGTACAGAGTAATTTGGTCCAAAAAGGTATGGCCAGGTGATCTGCCCAATGTCACTGAGCTGTTCAGTGGCCCAAAGGAGGCAGAAACCTATGCACTCTAATCCCCAACAGAACATTCATCTCCCTATCTATACTAGGCCCTCTAAGGAAGCTAGTGAAAAATAGGAATGAAAGGTAACCTTCTCTCAATTTATGCTTTGATTTATTATATATTTATTATATATATATCAAGGGTCAGTCTATCACCTACTCAGCCCAACATTAAATCAGTAAATCCCTACAACTGTTCCAAGGTTTCCAGATATATATAACAGTTTATATTCTGGATATATAATAACCTTTACAAATTTTTATAATGTGACTCCCTTAACTTACATTCTGAAACACATATAATTATGACTCATATGCTACCTCTGAAAGTGAAGTTTCTGACAAAGTGGGTCACTAGCTTTTGTTAAAAATAGTTTTTGTGAACAGAAGTATTAACTATGCAATGAATATTCCAACAAATGTCTACCTATTGTTGCTTTAGACACAAACTGGAATCTAGAAAAATCACTAGGTGATAACCTTATGTTTTTTTTACCACACTGATAACTGTTAGAATAACAATACTCAACCAAAGCCAAAAAAGTAAATAAATGCACAAAATTAACCATCTTAGTCTTTCAAGAAGAGTGGATAAACTCCCCAGATTTTAACCAACAAATGCATCTCACTTTACACTCTAACTATGATCACTTTAATTGTGTTAAGTAGAGAAAAATCTAATTTGTGTTAATAGTGGAGAATAGATTTCTATTAAGGGCATTAGCTACCTTTTTTTTTTGCTACTTCATTGGTCCATATATAATTAAATCCAACTCCACAAAACTTCTGAATATCACTCATCAATAGTTACAATCACAGAGAAAGATTTTGTTGATGATGATATTTTAGCATATTGAAAAGTGCCTATATTTGTTCAGTTACTTATTCTTCAGGTCTTTGAGTTGAGAGGATTTACAGTGGAGGCTCTTTATTGCCCAGCTGATGATTATTCAGCTGATACTGCTGAATGCCTACTCTATGAGCAGGCTCCACTGACAGGTCATTGAGATTTTACAAAAATATAGTTTGTAAATTCAAAATGATGCAACAGTCTCCTTTTTGGGAAGCTCATTATTGTGATACATGATAAAGGTCAAGCTTCTTTTTCTCAACTTAAAATTAGCTGTCTTAGTGGTCTTCAGTACTATTAATGAGATTTATTAAAATAAAACCCTTCAAAATTAGTATTTCTAGCATTCTTTACAAGCACTACAACCAATGTATTAATTCTCTTTTAAGTATAAAAGACTTTATTAACATACAGGGCATCTTTTTTTATATAACTTTAAAGATAAAAAGCCTTAGATTTTTGTGCATTTCAATGTATGTAAATTTTACCCCAAGAGGAAAAGAAAAAGAATTATTAACAAAAATTAAATACTGAAGTATTTAAGGGGAGTGTACAGACGTCTGCGGCTTCCCGTGAGCCGCACTGAAAAAATAAGATGGAGCAACAGATGGACAGATACGTGATTATTGAAAGTAGAGTGGGAATGTAGGTGTTCACTACACAATTCTTCCAACTTTTCTGTATGCTTGAACATTTTCATGATATAATGTTGAGAATAAAAAAGGCTTAGGTAATATCCTTAAACTTGATGCTTAAAGCAGTCTTTGTGCTCTTAAAATTAAGAACTAGTAAGAAATGTAATAGCATAAAAGTGATTTAAGACATACTACATCAAAAAAGACCTAAGAGCATTAATATGGAATTATGATAACCACGTATAAATATACATGGAAAACAAAAGGAACTGTACTAAAATGATTAATAAAACTGTCCCATGTTAATGGGATTATTAGTGATTTCCCCCCATCCATTTTTCCAACTTTCTGTAATTATACTTATAAATGCTTTCCATGCACATATAAATATACTTATGTGTATATATTTTTTGCTAGTATAATAAGGATAAGGAAAAAATGAGGAAAGGGGACTGCTATGTCTAAGTTTAAGGAACAAGAGGAAAAAAAAAAAAGACTGTTGACCTACCTACTTCCCCCTCTCATCTTATCCCTTGGATTTTGTTTTCTCCTGTTTTTGATCCAAACATAGATATAAATCAATTGTGAACATAAACACATCAAAATCTACTATGTTAAGATAATGAACTGACTTAACTAACACAGCCAAATGTAATGCTTTTTTATTCTTATGTTAGAATCTATAAACAGGTAATTCTCATAATGGAGTAAGGCATGTGAGCTTCCTTTAAGAGACTATAACTTACTACTCAGTAGTCTGTATTTTTTTAAAGAATCAATAAGAGCTAAACCAAATTTCTTATAAAAAGGCATCTTCCTAGGTTACAGTCTAATTTCTTCCACCTAGGAGAATCTAGTCCACTGAACAAGAACCATCCGAAGTCTCCTGCCTCCTTTAGTCATGAGGGGACATGTGGATTTGAGTCCCAGCTACTCTGACTTAAACAAGGCACATCATCTCTCAAGGCCTCACTTTCTTCCTCTATAAAATCAGGGCCTGCTAAGGTCCCTTCCAACTCAAAAATTCCCTGAATTTCACTGAGGAAGGAATGGCCCTCCTTGAGCTCCACCTAGCCTATGCCTGAATAAGGAAAATCTGGCAACATAAAAACACGAATTCATGAAGAGGTGTAAGTCCATAGATTGCCCTGCACCCAAGAATCATCTTGAGATACAATGTGGAAATAAGCAGACATAAGATCACCCTACATTGTGGACAGGCTGAACTATTAGGTATGTCTATGAAGTGAGGAGTGTACCCAAGAGCATGTATAGGGTTGGCAGGCAATGGTCCTATAAGTGTATTTGTGTGATCTGAATTCCCAGGTGTATAGTAGAGCTGACAAGGGGCAAGGCTGTAGTCACTTCTTGGTGACAGCCAGCTAACTAGAGGGACCGAGTAGTTGAATCTGTGGGCTCAGGACCAAAGTCCCAGGGGACATCAAGCTCAGTTAGCATAACATACTACATAAAACAATGTTCCACCTCCTACTTTGGTGAGTAGCGAATGGGATTTAAAAGCCTGCAAGCAGTCATCTAGATGCAACGATGAGTCTCTCCTTATCCAGAGCAAAGAAGAATGAAGAAAACCAAAGATTCATGGAAAGAATTAGTCCTAGTGACTGGTACACCATGTGATCTGCAGCCTATACAACTATGAGACCAGAAGAACTAGATGGTGCCTGGCTAACACTGTCAACCACTAGGAGGGGGA